TTCTATAGGCTTCTTGTTTCTTCATAGGCATTTCCTTCTTTAAGTTGGGAAAGTTTTCTTCTATGATCTTGTTGAATATATTTTCTGTGCCTTTGACTTGGTATTCTTCTGCTTCTTCTACCCCCAATTATTTGTAGGTTTGGTCTTTTCATGGTGTCCCAAATTTCTTGAACATTTTGGTTCATGGCTTTGTTGGCTTTAGTGTTTTCTTGGACTGATGAATCTATTTCTTCTACCATATCTTCAATGCCAGAGATCCTCTCTTCCATCTCTTGCATTCTGTTGGTTATACTTGCATCTGAAGTTCCTGTTCGTTTACTCAGATTTTCTATTTCCAGCATTCCCTCTGTTTGTGTCTTCTTCATTTTTTCTATTTCCCTTTTCAGGTCTTGTACTGTTTCCTTCATCTGTTTCATTGCTTTTTCATGATTTTCTTTCAGGGCTTTATTGTTTTCTTCCAGGACTTTATTGTTTTCTTCTGCTTTATTTGTCCTTTCCTCTAGTTTTTTATAGCGTTCTTCCCATTTTTTGTTTGCCTTTTCCTCAATTTCATTTGTGATTCCTTCTATATAAGCCTCTACTTTCTTCATGATGTTATTCATAAGGCTGGTTTCTTCTGCTTCTTCCATTTTTTGATGTTCAGGTCTAGCTGTTGGAGGAGGGCTAGGTTCTGGTGATGCTGTATTGCTCTTCATTTTGTTGTATGTACTTCTGCCTTGATGTCTGCCCATCTCCTTGTGGATTCATTCTTGGTCTTATCAGCGCATTTGGTCCAGACAGAGCTGACAGATTCAGGAAGACTCTCTCTCTTGTCCAGATGGGAGCTCTGGGGCAGGATGGGAGCTCTTGTCCAGATGGGAGGTCCAGGGCAGGATGGGAGCTGGGGGCCAGTCTCTAAGTCTCAGGAAGTGGCTGGGGTCTTGGGCAGATGGGTGTGGGGGCAGCGCGTGGAGATTGCAGGGTCTGCCAGGGGTTTTGGAGAAGGGGATCCTTCCCAGTGGGGGTGGAGGAGATCCTTCCCAATGGCCAGAACCTGGGGCCAAGTTGGGCAGGTCTTCCCCAGAATGGCTGGTACCCAGGGATGGGATCTAGGCTGAGCCCAGGCACTCACTGCTTGTCCAGATGGGAGGTCCAGGGCAGGATTGAACACACAGTTCTTAAATGAGATGTCTCCACCAAATCCCTCCCTTCAGTGCTTAGGAAGCCTTGGGGAAGACGAGGTGGAGAGTCTAAAAGCCAGAGGGGATGGAGGATACCAGAATAACTCCTCTAAATCAACTGATTAAGGGTCATATGAACTCATAGAGACTGAAGCACCAAGTACACAGCCTACATGGGTCTGTCCCAGGTCCTGTGCATGTGGTGGAACAGGTTTGATCTGAATGGCAGCAACTGCCTTAATCTTGTGAATGGAATTTTCTGGGTAATTCTGGGGAGCATTTAGGAGACAATCGTAGTAGAATATCAGTCTTCTTAGGGACTACTTAAGTGTTTATGGTCAGAGTGCTTGTAGCTGCACATGGACAGAAAACCAAAGGCTGTTCTGGTGGGATCAGAAAAAGAAGTAAGGAATATCTTGGTAGGGACTAGAAGAAAGGTCGTCTTGTTATATAATGGTGAAGAACTTAGCTGAATTAAGTCATTTTTCTGTAACGGAAAAAAGCATAACTAAACAATAATATACTAGAACCTGTGCATGCCTATGTGTATGTAAATTTGCATGTGTGTAGGCACACACATACAAAGAGACCCAATGTTGACATCGACAGCTTCCTCAGCGACCCTCCACTGAACCCAGAGTTAACAAATACACCTAGTCTGGTTAACCTGTTTGCTCCAGGGATTTTCTGTCCCCATATACCATGCTTTGGGAATACAAGAGGTTTGCTATGCCCACCTGGCATTTGCATGGCTCATGAACATCAGTCTTCACACTTCTGTTGAGTTACCCAGTACTAAACCTAACCTCTTATTGATAGAGTTCTCCAGGAATCAAATACTATTTTCATGTTGATAACTCTCAAACATATTTTTTCATTTTAGTTCTAAATTGGTTCTGGGATAGCCAAGAGAACATTCATGTTTAAATGCCCAAAACAAAGCTCATTGCCTCCTTCTGTTGCTAACCTTACACAATTATGATCTTTCTCATTCCACACAGTAGCCATTTACTGTTAAATTTACTTAAGCAACTGGATTACTATTTTTCTCATACTTGCATCCAATATAATATTTACCTTCCAAACACATTTAAATAACCTATAATGGTAATATAAAATATTAGGTCCATTTCATCTATGACTTCTTTTATGTCCACTATTTCTCTGTTTATTTTTGTCTACATGGCCTGTCTGCTAGTGAAAGTAGGGTATTGAAGTTTCTTGCTATTACTGTGTTGGGGTTAATCTCTGGACTAATGACTGGTATTGGATGTTCGCTAGTTTGGAGCATATGTGTTCAGAATCATAATTTCCTCTTCATGAATTATTCCTTTCATCAAAATGAAGTGACCTTCTTTATCACTTCTGATTAGTTTTGACATGAAGCTTGAAATCCAGATATGATTCAAGAGATTCAAACATAAATTACATTATTATATTTATTTAATAAAACACATAATATTTCTGAGATTTATGTAAATTAAATGACAAAGGTAAAAGACCTTAAGTGGTTACTAGCAACAGGGAATGATGGGAATGATGAAGAATGACTGTGTTAAAGAAGTTACTCAGAGTCTAGTAAAAGAAGTTTCAGGAATGGAAAATACAAGGTAATTTATTTTACATTTATTCATTTATTTTTAAGCAAGTTTGGTAGTTTAGATTCGGATACTACTTGTAAGACTGTTTACTCCCAAACTCTACCTTTTTTCTATTCCAGAATATTTGGATTTCAGGTAGGTACTTTGTCATTCAGCAACACAGCCAGTACCAACAGCAATTGATTATGGCTATGAGACCAAATTCTGAATAGAATATGCTCAGTAGTAGGGTGTATAGCCAGTATCTTAATTGTTAAAGAAAACATTGCCCATCTCTTTTCATTTTCTTTCCCTGGATGAAAAATAGAAATGAAGAAGAGAGATTTTTAATACTCCAAGACATTTAATACTCTTTTAATGGCAGAAAGAGACAATGGAAACAGACATTAATCCTATCACAGCATCTAAAACATAACAGTCCAGACAGGTTTTTTACACTTCTTCCTGAGCTACTTCTTTTTTGAGAAATAATATCTATTTGTGGCTTCATGTTTTGTTTCCTTTTAAATAATATTTTTATCAATTCTTTGATATTTTCACATGATATGTTTGAACATAGCCACCCCTCCCCCAACTCCACTTATAACCACCCTCTCATCCTTTCCCACCAAATTTTGGGTTTTATCATTCTGCCTCCCAACACAAAGTCAAATGTGTGGCCCCCAAATAGTCTTGGGGGTAGGGCTCATGTGTAGTTGATCTGCTCATGGTCACATCACTAAAGAAAACTGATTTTCCTTCTCCCAGTAGTTGTTAAATACCAATTGTTCCTTGGCTAGTGATGGGATTTCATGTTGACCTCCTCCCTCTATGCTGGGATTCTGTCTGGCTTGAGCTTGTGCAGATCTTGAGCATACTGTCACAATCATTGGGAGTGCATATGTTTAACTGCCATGCTGTGTCTGGAAAACACTGTTTCCCTGATTTTGTCTATCATCCCTGTGTCTTACAATCTCCTAGCCCTCTCTTTCACAAAGATTCTAGAGGCCTGGGAAAGGGAGTCTGATATGTATATCCCAGATAAGACTGAGAAGTCCACAATCTCTTATTCTCTACACATTGAATGTATTTTGTATTCTTTAGCAGACTAGCATTATTGTTCCACATCAGCTCTGATCTAATGTTATCCCAAAATGACTAATTGTTCTTATATTCTTCCTCAAAAACTAGTATCTCCCTCTTCAGTTTGAATCTTGGTGAGGCATAACTGCCATCTCCTGGTGTAGAGTGGTGGAAGAAATTCATACTTGTTTTACTTAACATTTGAATAAGCCTGTGAGTTACATAATAGTCCATAAGAAGAGGTCCACAGAAATCCACAAAGATACCCCCACAATAGACTGCTGGTAATGGTCAAGAGACAGCCCGAACTGACCTACTCTGGTGATGGGATGGCCAAACACCCTAATTGTCATTCTAGAAACCCCATCCAACAACTGAGGGATCTGGATGCAGAGATCCATGGCTAGGCCCCGGTGGAGCTCCGGGAGTCTAATTAGTGAGAAAAAGGAGGGTTTATATGCGCGAGAATTGTTGAGACCAAGGTTGGATAAAGCACGGGGACAAATAGCCAAATGAATGGAAACACATGAGCTATGAACCAATGGCTGAGGGGTCACCAACTGGATCAGGCCCTCTGAATGGGTGAGACAGTTGATTGGCTTGATCTGTTTGGGAGGCATCCAGGCAGTGGGACTGGGTCCTGTGCTCATTGCATGAGTTGGCTGTTTGAAACCTGGGGCCTATGCAGGGACGCTTGGCTCGGCCTGGGAGGACTGAGTCTACCAGGTTGATCTCAGTCCTCGGGGGAGGCTTTGCCCTGGAGAAGGTGGGAATGGGGGTGGGCTGGGGGGAAGGGGAGAGGGGCAGGAAGGGGGAGAACAAGGGAATCCGTGGCAGATATGTAAACCGAATTGTATTGTGAAATAAAAGAAAAGAAAAGAATATTGCCTGAAAATATCAAGTAAGCCAGCTGAATTATGCTCTAAAGGATAAGAGATCCAGTACAGATGAGCAAAGATTGCCTAGAAAATGCCCAGAACCATTAACAATAAAAGAAAATGAGACTATCTTGGAACATCCAGCTCAGCCAAAGTTAAAAAACATACAAAATCCCATGAATGAGCCCAGACTCAAAACAAAGGGGCTTCTCATATGATAGTAAATATGTACATGATAGTAAACCATTTCCTTGAGCCACTAAATGAGGGAATTTTTTTGCTACACAATAGACAAATAATTAATTGTACAAATTGTATAACTTTCTAATTAAAACTAGGTGTTGAACAGAATTCATCTTTTCAATGGCTTTCTTTAAGGCATTATGAACTTCTTTATTCCTTAAGCTATAGACAACTGGGTTCAACATGGGAACGACTATGGTGTAGAACACAGATGCCACTTGGTCATTGTCCATGGAATGACTAGAACTGGGCTGTAGGTACATAAAGATTATAGTTCCATAGAATATGGTCACAGCGGTGAGGTGGGATGCACAAGTAGAGAAGGCTTTCTTCCGTCCTTCTGCTGAATGCATCCTCAGGATAGCAATGAATATGAATACATAGGAGGTCAAGATAACTATGAGAGCAAAAAAGACATTGAAGGATGTTATGATAAAGAGCACAATCTCATTCACATATGTATCAGAGCAGGAAAGATCCAGGATTGGAGGGATATCACAGAAAAAGTGATGAATCACATTAGAATGGCAGAAGGAGAGATCAAAGATAAACCCAGTATAGATAGAAGATTCAGCTAAGCTGAACACATAGCAGCCAATCACCATATGAGCACACACACTAGCAGTCATTGTAGAGGTATAATGTAAGGGCTTACAAACTGCAGCATGCCTGTCAAAAGCCATAACAGCAAGTAAGAAACAGTCAACACTGGCAAAAGACACAAAGAAGAACATTTGAGTAACACATCCCCCATAGGAGATAACTTTATCCCCTGTGAGGAGCCCAGCCATCACCTTTGGAGTCACAGCTGAGGAGTAAACACAGTCTGCCAGAGAGAGATTACTGAGGAAAAGATACATGGGAGTGTGGAGACGGGAGTCCAGCCAGATCAACACAATCATGCCCAAGTTCCCAATCAGTGTGATGAGATAGATGAAGGTGAATGTTATGAACAGGGGGACTTCCAGCTCTGGGTTGTCAGTTAGTCCCAAAAGTATAAATGTTCTCATTCTACTGCTGTTAGTCACATATAACATTTTGATATTGTATTTTACCTGTCAAAATTAAGAAAAGACATGGATAGATTGCTGAAGTATGCCTTTCCCAGAGTATAACTCTGGTCCTGAGTTCAATTCTCAGTAACTCCCACAAGTAAACACATTATAAAATAGGGAAGAAAACAGTGTAATGAGCTGTAGGTTGAAATTGTTCAGAATACTGCTTAATGTATAGTTAACACACAATGAACAACCATTATACCATTCTAAATATACATGATGTTATTAATATAAACAAAGATGTTATTTGAAGAGAAAAAATGAGAAAGAGAAAAAATTATTTGAACCATATTACTCAAGCAGTTTATGTAGATAATTGTCTAAATTTAATTCAAATTTGCTTAGGCAAAATGAAACTTTCATCATTATTAAATATTAACAAGGATGGTATTTCAGAAGGAATAATAAACAGGAATTTTAAAATACCATTATGCTACACCATAACCTATTGAAGTTCAGGTTTGACTACTTACCTTATTTGACTACATAATCTCATTATAAAATAGCTTCCTTAGTTTACAAAATCCATGGTAAATATCTGATAAAAATGTGGAAAATCCTTCAGCAAACAATAATTTAATACCAGAATAATTCAGCTTTGGGTCTCTTAATCTCTTGCTCCACATGTAATCCATGAGCATACACAGTTAATGCTCTCTTCAACATATACCCTCAATGCATTTCTCAGTCACTACCTCCTGGAGACACTACCATTTGGGTCATAGCTGGAAAGAACAGACACTTCAAATTAGTCCCTGGGAAAGTTGGGACAAAGAAACCTCATGTGATATTCAAATATCTGATCTTAAAGATGATGGGGCTGACAAGTAAGTATTGAAGTTTTGTGTTTTCAAATAGAGAGCACATTGGTACACACACTGCATTTTTTTCAACTTTTATTATTTCTCTTACAATTTCACATGTGTATATATATATAAGTCATTCCTGTTACTCTCTCCTCTCATCATTTCTTATATTCTTTCAACAGTGTTCGACCCTTCCTTCTAACAGATTCCTCTCTCAGATTCATGACCTTTAATTCTGTTTTGTGACCCAGGGCCATCTGAATGACCATTGGATTAGGACTATCCATTGTAACATACTGGAGTTACCGGGGATGCACATTGAAGGTAATGTTTATCCCTTTTTCTGAATCTAGCAGTAGTAGTTCAACAGTGACAGATAAGGCCCCATAAACCTTTCTTCCATCCATGACTGGCTATAAATGGTTCCATTCTTGTAACTCTAAACATAACACTAGCAACATTTTTCTTTGTGCCAGACACTGTTGTCCTAAGCCTTATGGATTCACACTCTTTTAAACATTCTAAATTTGAGCCCGAGAACTAAACAATAAATTTTGCTGTTACAAAGTTAATTCTCTGTGACTCATTATACTTAGACTAGAGCTGAACACATAAGAGAACCTCATTCTATCTGAAATCAGTAACAGGAAGATCATGAGTTCAGTCCTAATGGGGTGACAGAGTGAGTTCAAGGCCAACCTGAGTAACTCAGAAAGACTCTGTCGAAAAATAAATAAGTAAGAATAATGAGTGGGAGCAGAGCATGCTAATAAGGAGTTTGTCTGCCATGAACAGGACCCTGGGTTCATTGCCCAGAACCACAAAATAATAAATAGAGACTGAAAAGTGTACAGATGGAGAAATGACAGAGAAACAAATAAAGGTATAGAATGATCCAAGAATTTTGTAAATGTAAACCAATGTGAGGTAACAGAAAGTTCCTGAGCTTCAGGATATATACCTCATTTTGAAACTTAGTTTTTTTAACTTAATAATTTTACTTAATTCCTTTTTTACTTAAAAACTTCTGAATTCTCCAAATATCCTATTTTCCTCTGGGGAAAAAAAATGAAGACATGAGATGCTTCATAGTTATTGAAGAAACATATTCCCATACACTTGAGTATCTGTTGTATACTGGATTAAAACACAGAAATGTTTCTTTTGGTTTTTCCTCGTGTTCAAGTGCCTATCATATCATATAACACACTCCACACAGGCAGTCCACTTTTAGGTGAATAAACTACATAAGAAATACTTGTAATTCCTTCTCAAAAACAGTTTTGACAGGGCTGGAGAGATGGCTCAGTGGTTAAGAGCACTGACTGATCTTCCAGATGACCGGGGTTCAGTTTCCAGCACCCACATGGCAGCTCACAACTGTCTGTAACTCCAGTTCCAGGGACTCCAAAACCCTTATAGACATACATGCAGGCAAAACACTGATGCACATAAAATAAAGATAAATATTTAAAAGAAAATAGTTTTGAAGAGCAGCTCCCACGAAGAATTGAAAAATCCCTAGTGATGCCTGCTCTGAGACTGTACATGAAGAACCAGAGAATACCTCTCACACTTTTTATTGATATTGTCATGAGACTATATTCTTGTAATTTGTATCTTATATTATGTTCCATAGAGGCAATGTCAGTGTCCTTCTTTAAGAATTCTCTCAAAATAGATTCTAATATTTTTTGAAATTATACTTTTTGAAACACAACTGAGAATAATAGCCAACAGAATGACTTTTAAATATAATTGAAATATGTTTATTGTGATACACGTGTTATTAAAATGCACTGTACTCTCCATGAATTTGCCTAATGTGAATCTTTGAGAATTAAGCTATGACAGGTTATTCACAGTATTTTATAGATGAAAAGTCACAATCCATTAGTGGATGGTAAAATTAAATAATTGACTAAACCAGCAATTTAAAAAAAATTGTTAAATACCATTGGTATTATTAGTAATGGTTTCCTTTTTGTTTGTTTGTTTTGTTTTTGTTGTTGTTGTTTTTCAAGACAGGATTTCTCTGTGTAACAGCCCTGGCTGTCCTGGAACTCATTTTGGAGACCAGGCTAGCCTCAAACTCATAGAAATCCACCTGCCTCTGTCTCTTGAGTGCTGGGATTAAAGGCATGCACCACCACTACCTGGCTAGTAATGGTTTCTAAAACAGGTATTTTATGCCACTGCTCTGCTTAATGATTGCAAATATTAAGGAGCATAAAGATGAATCTCAAAAGTAAAGGAAAGTGGGACTGCATGGAAGTTTTATTCTATGAATATATCCATGTTGGGGTGTGTGTGTGTGTTTGTGTGTGTGTGTGTGTGTGTGTGTGTGTGTGTGTGTGTGTGTGTAAATGTGTGTTTTCTGTATTCTAATATAAATTGTACTTCTATCTATAAATTCCATATTAGCAGAACACTTGATCATGAGCCTATAAAAAGTCAATGTAAAGTTCTGTGAGAACGTTGCTTTAGAAACACATACTACATAGCTCAACAAACAAGAAAGTGGTTGTTCATAGACAGACTTCATTCAGTCCTTCATTTGTTTGCTTAGAGTGTCAAAACTGACTTATCCATGTTATAAGCACTATCTCAAAAACAGATTTCAAAGTGTGATGATGATGTCATCTTCTATTTGGAAATATCCCCATTGTCTCCTTTAGAGAAAGGAGTTGTGATATCTAGACTCCTGGTAGAGAGGTATGAATTCAGGAGGATATTGGATACCAGAATGTTAAACTCTGATTACTCTATAGGAAAACAGTTACCTTTACACAGCAGATCTTCTGTTTCTGCAGTCTGAACAAAACAGATTAAGCTAGAAACCGTCCTTGCTCTTTAAGGAAGGTGGCACTGTGTCACTTGGGATCCAGTTGGAAGTCCTTCTCAAAGAAGGAAAACTTTTGATGAAGAAGTTATTTACTAATGACTAGTTGAACACCAAAGTTCTCCAGAGACAGACAAATACAAGGAAAAGGTGATTACTATGTGGGGGTTACAAAATAGTCTCCAACCTGCCACACGGGGATGCTGTGAGAAAAAAACAAAAGGAAGTCTGTTTGCTCTCTGTGAAGTGGCCAGCAACTCTAAGAGGAAGGAGCACACTTTTGTGAACTCAAATGTTAATTTTAACTGGGCATTTGTTTGAGCTGGATGTTGTTGCTTACCCATAATAAATATGCAATCTTGAAATAAAACTTCACAAAATAATAACTTTCTATATTCAATAAATACCAAAATGCCTTTGATACATAGACTGTTCCTTCTAAAATTGTGTCTTATATGGTTGTTTGGCTCAAACTGTTTGGGGTACACTAAGGCAGGGGGATCAGGATCTGTCCCTGGTCTATGGAGAGGTTTCTGGGAATCTGGTGTCTGACGTGTGACGCCTTGCACAGCCTTGGTGCAGTGGAAAAAGGCTTGGACCTGCCTAGGCTCAGTGTGCCAGGCTCTGCTGACTCCCCATGGGAGACCTTGATTTGGGGGATGTGGGGATGCGGGGTGGCTTGGAAAAGAGGGCTGGGGGGTGGGAGGAGGGAGGAGGGGGGTCTGTAGATAGCATGTGGAGTGAGTAGAAAATTTCTTAATAAAGAAAAACGAAAATAAAATAAAATAAAATAATTGTGTCTTATAGATTCATGTTTGATGTTAGACACCATTGTCTTGAATTCAAAGGATTTGGACATGCACAAAGTCCACAAGAAATTGCTGCCCAGGAGGACATCCAGAGGCCTTCATTCTATTCACCAAGAGAAGCAGTAATTAAATTGTCTATAGAGACCTACCTACAGCAGCTTGTTGAGAAAGAACAGTCATGCACATTGCACATTTCCTGGAACTGTGTGTGTGTGTGTGTGTGTGTGTGTGTGTGTGTGTGTGTGTGTGTGTGTGTGTGTGTGTGTCTGTGTGTCTGTGTGCTGTGCATTATTGTGTAGCTACATCATACAAATGAAATATTCCCTCTTAGAGGTCAGAGGGAAGTTCGTAAGATTTGGGAGCTAACAAAACTTACAAATGTGTGAGTTTACATGATTCTCAAAGCTTATAAAGTTACCAAATCATGAGTCCCTAACCCTGGGATATATATGCAGGTAGCAATGGCATGGGGAAGGGAGACTCGTAACTCTCTGAAAGTTGTATTCAGCTTTTGTGTCTTCC